ACTTCCGGCGGATCGGCGGCCGGGTAACGGTGCATTACCGGAGGGGGATGCATCGTTACATCCTGTAAGAGATATTATAAGTATATATTATAAGTATATATCCTGAGAATATACGAGAAATAATATACTACAAGAGAGAATATAGGGATGTTCTTAGAATATTACATACATAACAGTTATATGAAACTTATCACTTATATTTTTTTATTGTGCTTTGAACTGTTCTTTATTCTTCATTCATTTTATAACCGCTAATGTCTGTTATTCTTGTTCCTTATATATTTTTGATTATGCGGGGGTCTTTAACTTTACTGATATTATAAGAAATGATATTTTTTGAAAGATTTTGAATGATATATTAAAAAAATATTATGCGTACATATACATATATAAATTAATATCAATATCTTTATCTTAATTAAAATAATATGCCGTATTTTACTATATAACTTATATTAATTTATAATATAATTAACAATAAAATTATTATAATATAAACATCTCAAAAAATTAACAGTATAATGTGAACTAAAAATATAATATAATAATACTCTCTTTCTCTCTCTCTTTCTCTAAAAACAATACTAATAAATATTATAACATATTTGAACAGAAATCTTGAGAGTTTATAATGAATCGAAAACGGTGCAGAAAAGACATTTCATGTGTATCAAAACGACATTTAAAACGGCTAGCTACACAAGAATCCGAAATTGTTTGTGATGCTTTATTAAGCATGACTGCAACATCATTTTATAGTAACGTTGATAAATGCACAGAACATTTGGAAACTGTTTCTACAGTTAATTCAGATGTAATAAATATTCAAAATGCTAAAAATGCTGTAATCGAAAATTATATTCTTCACAAATGGAACGAAAACAATGATATATCGAACGTGCAACAATCCTGCATTAGCGATTATTATGAATCAAAAACTTATTTAGTATCTGAAAATGCAAATATAACAGATGACAATTTGAAAAATTATCTTGCTTCCTGTACAACATCAAATTTCACATACAGCTCTAAGGGCGCTGCTTCAGAGATTAAGAAATCATTCGTGTTTTTCATCATTATCTTTAGATGCACGTTCACTTTTAAAAACTCCGAGAAAACAAGAAATGCGTACAGTAGTGCCAGGAATGTACAAAAATCACAAAAATCTGTATTGAATATATTAACCTCCATAAAGAACAATGTTGATAGTATAGAAATTGCTATTAATATCGATGGATTACCACTCTCAAAATCATCACAACAACAATTTTGGCCTATACTTGGTTCAATTCTTCCATATAATAATGTATTCGCAATTGGAATTTATCATGGAACTGAAAAACCGGCAAACATCAACAATTTTTTAAAAGATTTTGTGGACGAAGCTACAGAAATGTGCGAAAATGGAATTTATGTAAATGGCCGTAATACACAATGCAGAATAGAAGCTTTAATATGTGATACACAGCAAAAGCATTTGTTCTGTGTGTAAAAGGGCATTCCGGATATTCTAGTTGTACTAAGTGCACAATAGAAGGAGAATATATAGGAAATCGTATGTGCTTTCCACAAATTGATGCACCATTAAGATCTGATGATGATTTTATCCAAAAAATTGATGACAGCTATCACAAGCCAAATATAACATGTAGCTTATTAAAAATACCTCATTTCAAACCTGTTACAAATGTTCCACTCAATTATATGCACTTAGTTTGTTTGGGAATAATGCGTAAATTAATATATTTATGGTTGGATGGAGATCTCTCTTATCGACTACAACATAGAGCCATTGAAGAAATATCTATACGTCTAACAACTCATTTAAAGCCATCAATACCTATAGAATTCGCAAGAAAACCACGAAAAATGGATTATATAAAATTATGGAAAGCCACGGAATATAGATTAATACTGCTGTATACCGGCCCATTGGCTTTTAAATCTATATTAAAAAAAAGTGTGTACATCCATTTTATGACATTACATGTAATTATTAGAATCTTGTCTTCAAAGTATTTGCACAAGCATCTATCTTATGCACAAGATCTGATAATTTTCTAATTAAAACATTTATCAAACTTTATGGAGTGCAAAACGTGTCGCATAACATCCACAGCCTTATACATCTTGTAGACGATGTCAAAAAGTTTGGATCACTTGATAACTTCAGTGCGTTCAAGTTTGAGAACTACATGCAAATATTTAAAAAATATCTCAGAAAAGCGGAGAAACCTTTAGAACAAGTTGTACGGAGATGTATTAAAAAAGAAATTAATTTAAGTACATCATCGATTGATTTGTCGGATTCCGTTTTGATACATCCAACTTTAATGTCCTTACATAACGATGGTCCACTTCTATCCGATTGCAATAATCCACAATATAAAATTATCAAATACTACGGAATAACGTTTCAAGCTGGAACACTTGCAAATAGTTGTTGTGGTTTAAGTTGTGGTGCTATTGTATGTATTGAAAATGTGGCACATTGCATAAAGCAAAATATTCCTGTTATTATCGGATACGAATTTTTGGAAAAAGAAGATCTATTTAACGTTCCCTGTTTATCTTCGTTACTTGGGATTTATTCCGTAAAATCATTCTCAGATTTGAAATCATGGCCATTGAAAAATATTATTAAAAAATATGTCAAATTGCCATGCGGAAATGATAAATATGCAGTCTTCCCGTTGATACACAGTGAAATGTAATTGATATTCATTCACACAGAATGACTGATAAATTTTATGCGATCGTCGAATTTGAAGATGGACTACAAGTAATACCAAATAATTGGTTAAGTGGAGATTTAACAAAAGCTTTTTGACCAAACTTTACGAATAACAAACGATACGATAAAGCGGTGAAACTTATGGAGGAGCCGGAATGTACTTGGTTAGAACATCCCATTCGAAAAATATATGGAACATTTCGTAAGCAATATTATATTCTTTTTTGGAATATATTATTACAGTCTTTTGCATGTAAATATGTGTTGATATTTTTGAAAAATATAAGAAACTATGATTTATTAAATTATACATTCATAAAAAATCATTTATTAAATTATATTTAAAAAATAATTTATCATTTTTTTCAGACAATTATATAGTGGCAGGAAAAAAGTTGAAAGATGCCGAAGAGTTATCCGACATTAACTCTGGCACTGAAATAGAGGAGAATTTTAAAAAGTCGAGAAAAATCAGAGCCGCTAAAGTTATCGACGAATCGAGTAATGAGGAATCATCTGATGATGAAATGGCACTAATCTCACAGCTTCCGAAATTTCCAAACAAGCATTCCATGACTGCAGAAACCACCAAAAAAGCATTAAAAATTACAAAGGATGCACAAAAAGGTAAGTGTGGTAAAATAATAATAAAAATAGCAATAATAGATTAAAACAAAGTAGAACATTTTATAATTATAATAATAAAATACCGATTTTGGGATTACAGATTTTAACTATGTTGATAAAAAAAAAACGCAAATAAAAGACAAATCGTGCGTACAAAAAATAATAGATGATTCTTGTAAATATGATTTTTATCAATTCATTTTCATTCATTCAATTATATTGAAATGATATGATAAGAAAAACGTTTTATTATTTTTAGGTCTGCATTGTAATGAAAATGTGCTTGATGCATCCGCAGAACAATCATTTGATGACGAAATTAATAATACAAATGTGCCAATCCGATGCTACAGACGAGCGACCCGCGCGACGGAGAGAACGAGTCGGCGGCCGCGTTTATCGCTCAGCCGCGAGACGGTAGGAAAAGTCGTCGCAATATATAATATATAATAGCATTGTAATACTGTTTATAATACTATAAAAATGCAATGTTATATGTGCAATTACATGTAAAGAAAAATTTATAATTATATATCAACTATATATGTTAAAAAAATTGGAATAAAAAAATATTTTTATATATAAAAATAAGATGTTAATAATATATACACCATATTGATATATATATTGTAACCGTAATTTATCCTATTTGGTCGAATAGGCTCCGCGTTGAGAGTCCGCTCGCCGCTCCGTCCTTGGGACTCCCTCGCTTCGTGCGGGTGGAGTGGCCGCCCCTTTGGCCGGATTATTCCGGCCCTTCGCTCCTTTCCTGCCACAAGAAATATAAATTTATCGGCAGCGATGTTTATCAGCCCTTAAAAGTGTTTTTAATATTAGACAACTATGACCTGGCGTCTCCTGTTTCCTGGGTGTCCTGGACTCCCGCTCTCGGCCATCACTCTTCTCTCTTCTTTTTCTTCCGCCGGATGGGATCCCGCCGCTCGATCTCGTGCCGACAACCAACTCGCGGGCTCATCTCGAGCTTACATTTCCGATAACTATTACTACCAAAAGTCAGATCTCGTCGATCTGACGATTGGGCCGCTCTCTCCCTAAATAGAGAGGACGCAGGCCCCCGAAAAACCACCCCCGATCGGGTCATTCGACCCTTGTGACAGACGTCCCAAAAACGTCACGTCACAATATATTACCGTAAATACACGAAATCCGGTTTTTTGCTAGTTAGAACGTATCAAAAAATAGAAAGCTGTTGTGCAATCTGTTTTTTTCTAGCGATGTATGGTGGGGTAAAGAAGCCTTCGTTAATTAAGAAACAGAAAAGTAGAGGGCATGAAAAGACAAAGATAGAATAGTGATACCACTGAACTTCATACTGGAAAGCGCCGTGCTATTTAAAATATGGGATGACAAAGAGGGCATTACGTGATCTTTGTCTTTCTCTCTCTATATTGTTTTCCTACATGATAATAAATTAATTTATTCATCTTTATTTTATAATGCATAAAAAAGATATTGTATATTTTATAAATAAAATAAGTATTATGTATGTGCGTGTGCGTGTGTATTTTTGTATGTGCATGTGTTGTATTTAACTATAATGAAATTTAATTATGTATTGTATTAACTATAGTGAAATAAAAAAAGAAAATAACTTGTGTTGTATATCTCATTTAATGTATGGATGTCGGTTGTGGACCCGGGGATATAACAAAGGATATTCTTCTTCCGTTTCTTGATCCAAATGTAACAATGATTGGTAAGTAAAAATAATAAATTGTAAGAATATAATAGTTCGCGCAGACGCGCTCACATACACTATGTAATATAAATTATCATCAGTTAATGCAATAATTATATATTATTAATATATAAAGATACAGACATTATGGAAAAAATGGTTGAATACGCCAACAAAACATATGGTGATAAAGAACGACTCAAATTCGAAGTGCTAGATATTCAAACTAAAAAATTGCCCGAGGAATATATCTCAGAATTTAATCACATTTTTTCTTTTCATGCTTTGCAGTGGTGCAATGATATTCAGTAAGAAAAATTATTAAATAAGCGTAGATTAATATTTTTTTCGTAAGAAATAACTTTTATATATGTCTTCAACAATGTACTTTTACATAACTATGTTTTGAAAGAATATCCTAATAGATATATATTTCCAAAATTATAATTAATATTTAACATCGTTATTTAATAGCCAAACTTTTCGAAATATTTATCATATGCTTCGACCTGGTAAAACAATGCTTATATCAAGTATAGCCCATCAGGGACCCGTATTTGAATCTTTGGAAGCTATGGCGGAAGATACGCGGTTTACAGCGTATATGGGGGTAAATATATTATTACATCAAAGATGCAGTATAAGAAAAAAATTGTAGAATAATTTCCGCATATGAAATAAATTCGTTTTTATTAATTTTAAAAATCCATCGGATGTATACGTATAGGTGGCTAACATAAAAGATAAATTTCTTTCGTAAGAGCCTTTATTGTTTCATTTCAATTTTAAATTTTATATTAATATATCGACACATTTATTATTTGCATTACAAATATCACTTTGATATATTTCATCTATAAATTTTTAATTAAATTTGATTTGTACAGGACAAACAGAAATATGTTGGAACATTTCATTATTCAACCCAACCTCACGAAGAGCTAAAAAAAGTACTTGAAGATATCGGATTTCAAGTTCATCATTGCAGTCATCGAAACAAGAGCTCATTCCTAAATACAAAACAGTTTCTATGTAAGTATATTCTCTCCATATGCATGCAAAAATTAAATTCTAGACGAGATTATTATTTGTATCGTAAATTTTTTTTCATACTATTAATTACAGTGAATTAATGATATTTTACCGATTAAAATGATACCAAACACGATATAAATCGGATCAATTATGTATTATGAAATTATGATTACTTATTTCATTAAAAATTATACGATTTATGTCGTGCTTAGTATCATTTTTATCGCAAGAATCTCATTAATTCATTATAAATATGTTCATACTAATAACAGCCAAAATGTAAGTTTCAGTTTTTATTTTATAAAATGTTTATATTTTGTACATAAGGAAAGATCCCCGATGCTGAAGAATCGACAAAAGCTAGAGCAAGAAAGAATGAAGAAGCAAGCGAAATGACAAACATCAAAGAGTTCCGAAGTCTCGCTCGCCAGGCTCCCTTTATCTGTAATCTTTGACGTGTATATGTCATCTTATTATAGAAAATAAAATCTCTGTATTTCGCATTTTATATATCTGAAAATAATTGTAATGGATTAATTACATTTTTGCGATTAAAATGACACTAAATATGACATAAATCGGATTATTTTTAATGAAATAAGTAATCATAATTACATAATTGATTAAAAATAATTCAATTTATGTCATGTTTGGTATCATTTTAATCGCAAGA